CCCCGCCACACACCAGCGTCGACCGCGTCATGACAAACCGCGTCGACAGAAGCCGGACGCCGTCCAGGACAAGCGCGGGGCCGTACCGAAATCCCTCACGGCCAGGGATCCTCGGCACGTACTGCGACCCGCCAACCGTCGCGCGCAGCGTTGAGTTCACCAGCAGCACGCTCGAGTGCAGCGGCATCGCGCCACGCAGCACGATCGTGCCCTCCAACGACGTCACATTCGTCATGTTGACGAGGACGTGCGGCATCAGGCGCGCCGTGCTCTCGCTGAGGCCGCCAATCCGCAGCTGCGCGCCGCCCGCAAGCACGCAGTGGCGCAGCGCCACGTTCAGCGCGTCAGCAAACGCGTCCATCGAGCGCAGTTCCACCGCCACAGTGATCGGTCCGCTGAACACCACCGAGTCGAAGCACGCCGTCGCACGCCCACCGCCAATCGTCACCGACTCCGTCAGCGTCACGCCACTCACGCAGCCCTCCGCAGTATCGCCACCGCCGCCGCCGGACCTCGCAACCGGCACGTCGAACGGCAGGCACGCCTCGCCCACACCGCCGGCACGGCAGCTGCACACGCAGTCGGTGAACGACGCCGTCAGCGCATCAAAGCACGCCAGCGCTGCCGCACAGCCGTCGCACGGCACCACGCTCACGGACGACAGGCCGGCCAAGCGGTAGTCGCCACTGCTCTGCAGCACCCGGCCGCCGGCACGGTTGCACTGCACCGACACGACGCCGCTCGTGATCGTCGGCCCGGAGACAAGCGTCGCGCCGGCAGCAGTGCAGCGCGCAATCGAAGCGGCGCCACCGCTCAGCGTCACCTCCGACAGCGACGCCACCGACGACGCCTCGCCCACCGCCCACACGTCGCGCAGCTCCAGCCACCCGCCGGCACCGACCGTCCCACCGTCGCAGCGCACCAGCGACGACGCGACAGACCCCTCGACGTCCACGAAGCGCAGCACCGAGTCGGACACCGCGAGGCGCTCGCCAAGCACAATGCCGCCGCCGCTGCTCACAACCGAAACGTTTGTCACGGAGAACACCGAGTGGCTCCGCAGACTGAGACGCGACGAGGGCGCCACACGCAACGCGGACGCGGCCAGACCGCCCGACGCCTCCAGCGACACGCCGTCAAGCACCACCGCACTCGACAGCAGGTCCACGTCGCCGCCAACGTACACCGCCGTCCCGCCCGCCTGCGACGACCTCAGCAAAGTGTTGCTCACACGCAGCTGCGTCTGCAACAGCGACGTCGCGTGCAGCACAAGCGGCGACGCCACCGCGTCCGTCAGCCCACTCAGCTGGGAGTAGCGCATCGGCCCCGGCGTCACAATCGTCGAGTCACGGACCGTCACGTTCGTGTGTGCCGGCAGGTTGTGCACAAACACAAGCGAGCAGTAGCCGCCGGACAGCCCGCTCACGCTCACCTCCAGGCTCCGGTCACTCGCCGGCTCGCCGCTGTAGCCCCGCACGTAGATCTGCGCACCGCCGTCGCACACGCAGTTCCTCAATTCGATGCGCAGCGCGCCGGGAAGCATCGCCGCAACGTCGAACACCACAGCCACGCCGTTCGTGATGTGCACGCCGTCCATCAGCACCGTGTCCACGGCGCGGCCAACCGTGATGGCTCTGTCCACCGTACAGCCCCGCAGTCGCAACACCACCGCATGCACCGCGGGCATCCACGCAGCAGCAGCAACAAGCGCCAACACAACGAGCACAGCCGCACGCACAGCCGCAATGGCCCTGCGCCGCACACGGTGACGGCTGCGCGGACACGCACCCACCACAGACCGCATCCACCGACCCAAACAGGCACCAATAGGGCTGTCGCGTTGTGTCGCTCTCGCCCCGTCGACCATAACTCCTGCCTGGCAAATCCCTTCCTAAATATGGCGAATTCAGTGACACAATTCCGCCAGATCGTTATACTAATACTGCTAATCCTAATACTGCAATTAACTCCTAACACCTTGAAACGATAGTTGTGCTGGGAAGCAAAAGTA